AAATTCTGTCTCTCAGAGTGGGAATGCACCTACAATGTGAATTTCAGACCCCTCCATGATTTCTAAGTGGGAGAACTTGCAAAATCGCAGGGTGTTCAAATACTTCTGTTCCTCACTGTATATCTTTTTAAGAGGGTTTTAAAATTTTCTAGGCAACCACTGGTTTACATTGATTCTTCAACATCAACATGTGATATTCAATGTGATGGAGTAAATATCTTACTCAAGTCTCAATAAAAGGAGTTTCATACTATAGTGTATCAGGAAAATAAAACATCACATTACTACTCCAAAAACAAGTGTGTTGTCAGGGCCAATGTGAAAATACTTGATTACTTCCTTTTTTTTGGGAACTGAACATAAGGTTGTGTGACATTTTCCCCGCCTGTGCATTGCAGCATTTAACCTCAAAGTGTCATCTATGCTACCTTACTGCCATGTGGCAAGTTAAAAAGAACATTTTTTGGAGGCCACCGGTGTAAAAGCGATGTCAGTGTCTTGCTGAATTTCCTGTTTACATTGAGGCTGCGATTGCATGTATAGATTTTTACTACTGCCCTTTATGCACCTCTTTTATTCTTTAACAGCACCCAGTAATACCTGCATGTCCCACAACATCCTCCCAGCTGGGAATGAAAAGATCAACACGGAGCTAGGGGGCATTATGGGATTCGGAGGCTCTACTAGACACTAAAACAAAATCCAGGGCTACCTTTAAAGCCAAGTACATCAACTGACAAACAAAGGCAAAACTACACTGTCAAGTAGTGTGAAGAACTCTTAACTTTTTATATCATGAAAAGACACATTATTTTGCATTGCAGATGTGTTAAAAAGATTGTGTATCATTTAACCTCTGATTCTATCATTACAATAGTGCCATGTGACCACTTTTACACTGTACATACAGTAAAAGGCAACCGCTGTTTTCAGACCATGAAATAATCAGTAAACCAATTATTTTCATTATTGATTAATTTGATGATAATTGTCTCAATTAATTAATTAATTGTTTGGTCTATAAATTAAAAAAAAGGCCCATTATAATTTCGCAGAGCCAAACTGACATATTCAAATACTTTTGGCCTGACCAACAGTCCAAACAATTTTGTGTCAAACAACTAATTGACTAATTGTTGCAGAGTTAACAAGCACAAAAAGTGGGAATACTTACTGCAGCATCTTTATTCTTCCCCTGTAAAATAAAAAATATATTGTTTATCACATTTAATTAATCTGATTTCTTTTTAGTTTCTCACTGTTGAGCATTTCCAATAACTCAGACTGATCTTGTGCAATTTATTTACAGACATCCTTTTTACAAAACAATATTAAAAAGATGGTAACAGAAAAGTCCACCCAAACATTTTCCAAACAACTGAAATATTAATAGTAAATATTACCTTTAGGAGCAATTAAAGAAAATTAGTAAATTACAACACTAAAAATACAACACCTAAGAGTAAGCCGCTACATTTATTTATTAAATATTGCACTTCCACAAAGTTAAGAAACTCGCAAAAACCATATGTATCATGCATTTGGTGGTGTACCCTTTTAATCACAGCATCCATTCAACATTACTCTATTATCTTAGAGAATACAAGTGTCTCGGGGTAGATTTTCTTAAGGGACAAGCAGTGTGTGGCCACGAGAAAGACTTACAGCAATGAGTTTGATGTTAGTGTAGGTGTTCATGTTGAAGGCCAGCAGAGTGCCGCAGTCCTGAAACAGGACCGCACGCCGGGAGCACTGACTGCTCTGATCCGGTAGGAACACTGTCAAGACAAATAGGAAAATGAAAGCAAAAGCAAAAAAAAAAAAAATACAAATTTTATAACCTCTTTTAAGCATGTTTGAAAAAATACAATAAAACAATAAAAAACCTCACTTACTGAAATGGCAGACTATTCCTATAGCAGATTACAAATGACCATACTTAGCTGTAGATTTTTCACTCATCAAGATTTTCCCCTTTCTGAAGAAACAGCACTCTCCTGAATCTCCGCACCAGATGTTATAGGGAGTCATTCACACTACTCAGCCTTTACTGTTTTACTTTTATTTGCGTTGCACTTTGTACCTTGTTTGTAATAGACTGTCTATGACTAATGTCTGCAGCTCCTATTACACTACCCATCAAAAGATTCAACACTTTCCTATTCAATTCAATGGGAAAGTGTGCACACACTTTTGACTGGTAGTGTATAATGCACCGTTCCCAATAGACTCATGTTGTTAGAAGTTGCTTTAAGTTGAAGTGTTGGCAGAATGAAGAGAATGAAGAATGAGTTGTGTATTTGTCAATTTCTACGCGGCTGGGGGCAGCTGTGGCTCAGGAGGTAGAGCAGGTCGTTTCCTAACCAGCGGTTCGATTTCCAGCTTGTCCAGTCAACATGTCGAGGTGTCCTTGAGCAAGACACTAAACCCCCAGTTGTCACCGGTGTGTGAATGCGTGAGTGCTTGGGAGTGCGAATGGGTGAATGGCCGAATAATGTGTGAAAGCGCTTTGAGTGTGCTGTGAAAGCATAGAAAGGCGCTATACAAGTATAAGACCATTTACCATTTACGCAAGCCACTCTACAGTTTTGCGTGGCAAACTACTTCTGCTCATTTATTTAGAAAACCAGTTCTTCAGATTATGTGTGGCTGTTACTTCATGGTGGTGTAATCTTGGGGGATTAAATATCAAAAATTTACTTTCAGATTGGCCTCTATGCTATCAGCATTTGAGTGAGGACAGATAAAAAGCATGCTTTGAGCCTCCTTCTGTCAGAGGCTACAAACATCAAACAAAAATCATGTGCACAGAATCTTAGTGTACAATTTGAACCTAAAAGGGATATTGTGTAACTTCAGATTCTTTCTCCTATTCATAAAAAATTAGTACTGCCAGATGGGCAAAGAGGTGCTTTTAGCTGCTACACAATGCCAGCCACTACCCCCTGATTATTCGCTGATTATTACCACCGAATATCCGGAGCCACAGAGGATAATTGACCAAAACGGGTAGCTTTAAAGAAGATGACACAAAAACAAATGAAAGAACACAGCACAAAGCAGGTGAATGCTGGGTCAGCAGCAGAGGTGTACCCCTGAAAGTTAACTAATTTGACTTACTTTTCTGGCATTTCCTGAATCAGTTTACTGACTTTCATTATCCCATAATCATCAGCTGTGACCACGTTGGCCGCTGTTCAGCAAAAGCTATGCATTCTCACATGAAGCTGTAGTTACCTGCACTGGTGTCCACACAGTCAGTAGTGACACCAGGAGCCGGCAGCCAGAACACCCCTCTCTGTCCGCTGTCCTGTGCTGTCACCATCACATCCCCATACTGAAGACAGAAACCATCAGCAGAGAATAAACACATCAATATGATGTAAAGTAGATCAATTACAAAGGAAGAGACAGGCTAACAGTTACATGCCTGGTATCCAGACGAGGCCTGGAGCCCTGCAGTGGACACCTGGCCACCATTTTCCTCCAAGCCAAAAGTAAAGCTGGTAAACTGTTTAAAGAGCGAGTCAAAGTTTCCGTCAGTTGGAAGAGCAGGTGAGAGGAGTTGAAATAATCCATCAACATCTAGACAGACAACATAAAGAATGGAGAAAGAGGTATCATAAAGTACTGACATGGCTACATACTATGTGTCCAGTACAGTAATACAGTAATATTCGGCATGTTATTTATATTCTATAAAATCAGAAAAATAACACCAGCATCATAATCAATTTAGATTTACTAACCACTTCTTACTACAACTTACGGTTTTGTGACTGAATGCAGAAGACATCATAACTCATCTCCTTCTGGACAGACGACTGTAGTTCGGAGTAGCCGGATGCTGTACTGCTTAAAGTGTAAGATGCTACATCACTGCTGCAAAGCTGCTTGTTGCTACTGCAGCCAAAAACAGAATAAACACCGAACATGAGCCCCTACTTGTACTGTATATAGACTGATGTTACTTTCATGTGTAAACTTAAAAGAAATGTTCAAGTAAAGAGTACTTTCATGCTGATATACAACAGAAGCATAAGTTTATTAAATAGATGCATAGTGTGACTCATTTTATCAAGATGTAGTGTTTAAACATCACATCAAAATGATAGCATAGCCACAAGCAGGCACACAATTCAGTACATGCACATGGTCAGTTTACAAGTAAATTCTGCCCCATTAATCATTAAATGTTATTTCAAATCCCTCATATAAACAGAAATCAAACTGAATTAATTTACTGTAATTGTCAAATAGTGGCCTTCATGTGGGGCAACAGTGGTGCGGTGGGTAGAGTAGTTGTCTCGCAACCGGAAGGTTGAAGGTTCGTGCCTGCAGTCCGCATGTCAAAGTGTCCTTGGGCAAGACACTGAACCCCCCCCAGTTGCCCGTGATGGCGGCATGTATGCATGCAGTGGCCCTTGGCTCCAAACAAAATTTCGTTGTACATGTCACAATAAAATAAAGCTTCTTCTTTATGTACATCAGCTGCAGGGACAACCAGACTTTTTTTTGACAGTCTTCAATTTTAGACATGCCCTCATTTGTCCTGTTTCATTTTTATCAGAAAGAGGCCTCCCTGTTTCCTGATGCAATCCCAATTTAACTGGTTTGCTCTTAATGCAAACTCAGCACTTCCTTCTTGTTTAGCACTGATTTCATCAGTACAGCAGATGAGTCATGTTATACTGACCTCTCTGACATTACTTTCTCTTCTCTAACAGAAATGTTATTTTCAAATTACACAGATAGTTTACATTTCAAGCATTCCAGGAGATAAAATAGCATAATCCCTATATGATTTGGTAGACTTTTAATTTGAAATACCCAAAGGGTCAAACTGAGGGCAACTTAACTGCACTCAAAAAGAAAAAAAATGACTTTGTGAATTTAAAGCTGAAAAGAGAAATGTGTGAGCAGCAGAGTGGTGATGACTGCGTTGCTGTACTGCTTGCTGTGATGTACAATACAATATGTACAATATGCAGAATTTACCATGTAGGCAACTTTGAGCTGTGTCTCTACTATTGAACCACAGTGACTGGAAACTAGTTAGCAGCAATGTGCCCCCATTTTCTTCTAGCTGGGAGACTGACCTGACGGTGCGCACAGAGCAGTCTGTGAAAAGAGCCACTTCCCCGCTGCACTCTTTGTCACAGCAGCAGTTGATGTCACACACACCGCTGTGCTCATCACAGGGACACAACCTGTCAACTGACACACACGTAGCAATGCTCTGGTTAGCATGACATTTACAAAAGAAAGCTTGATCATCCTCCTGCTTTAGACTTTCTCCACCTAAGTGAGATATTCACTCAGTAATTAACTACCATGAACCTGTGAGTTCCCTGCAGACCTCCCTCTTTCATGTTATTAATTCAGGATAAGACCCCAAAACATCCCAAATAACAACAACCTGCCGTCATATATCTTTATAGTTTAGCTAATGAACTTGGACACTACAATATCTAACTAGACACATTAGCTTTGCAGAATAGAGTGTATACCAAAGCTAGGTAGCTATTTAAAAGGATACCATGTAACGATAGAGTAGCTACCGTTGGTGACAGGAGTGAGTAAGCGGCCGGAGACGGGTAAGGGCTCCTCCGTGTTTTTGTAGCTTGGTGTTGGGGTTGTCGACTCAAACGCTGGAGTCGTGTCCGGCTGTGTAGTTGTGTAACTGTCATTATATGTGACATTGTGGTCACCAAACACAGTCGTATTCAAAGCAGGTATAGTTATATTTTCGTCTGCGGTCACTGCACTAAACGATAGAAATAAACAAAAAATGTTTGAAAACGACCAGATTACAACATCAGACGCCGCCATCTTTGTTTCATCGTTGCTATGGTTCTTCTTCTTTTATGTTTTTTTTGTTTGTTTTTTTTTAAACTACGTCTAATGAAATATTACCGCCACCTGCTGTTCGTGAACAGAATTGTCACAGTTGCCACTGCAGAAGTAGTCGAAATGAATAAATCACGGTGTTGTTAAATTATAGTGTGGGTGGAGAAAGGTGTCAGGAGTGTTGTGTGACAGAAGAGTGGCAGCAAGAATCAAAAGAAATGTGTACAGGACAGTAGTGAGACCAGCTATGCTATATGGGTTAGAGACTGTAGCAGTGAGGAAAAGACAAGAGGCAGAGATGGAGGTAGCAGAGATGAGGATGTTGAGGTTGTCTTTAGGAGCGACCAGGATGGACAGGATTAGGAATGAGCATATCAGAGGGACAGCTCAGGTCGGCTGGTTTGGGGACAAGGTCAGAGAGGCCAGATTGAGATGGTTTGGACATGTGCAGAGGAGAGATAGTGGTTATACTGGTAGAAGGATGTTGGAGATGGAGCTGCCAGGCAAGAGGTCAAGAGGTAGGCCAAAGAGGAGATATATGGATGTGCTAAAAGAGGACATGAAGTTAATTGGTGTGAGAGTAAAGGATGCCGAGGATAGAGTTAGGTGGAAACAGATGATTCGCTGTGGTGACCCCTAACAGGAACAGCTGAAAGAAGAAGAAGAAGATGTTAAATTATAGTGTCCGTGTTTGGGGAAGGGTTGGAAGATTTCCTGTTCTGTTATTTTGGCTCACCTTGTTGTTGACTGTGTTTTTTTTTCTTTGCTTGACTGGACTGTTCACCTAATTGCCTTAGTTTGCATTATTTTTTATATATATATATTATGGGAGCTGCACGTGTTCATAATAAATTTTTTATTGTGTAAACCACATTGGCAGTTTCAAAAAACAATCAGTGCACTAAATAGTTAAGGAAAGGAGACAGGCCAGATTTTTCTTTTTAATTAGTGGGAGTTCTGTGAAAATCTCATAGGTTTTATGTTGCAGCAATCTCTTATGATTACCTCTGTGTGATTGCAGCACCAACACACTTAGGTTGGGAAAGCAAATGGCTGTTTTTTTCTATAACGGTGAGGAGAGGTTATGTCTAATGGTTGGTTTTGTTATGAGATTTTTGTTGATAATTCTTGAAATGTTTTTCCATAGATTGTAACACATAAGGCAGCTTCTGCATGATTTGATCTGAAAACTGAATTTGTGAAGCACCCTGCTTTCATGATAGTGTCATAGACTGTACAACAAAAAAAAACAACCTTTGATAAATGTCTGTTGCATCTGTAACATCAGTGAGTGATCAGATTTTCTGTAAATAGGTGCAGCTGCACATCTACAAAGTGAATACAGCTTGTACTCTTTTCCACTGTAACGGAGACTGATCATACTCTAGAGTTAAGCAAATGAGGAAGTAATTCACAATGGCCTCCGAAAATCGGTCATCAGTGTACCTATCCCAGTATTTAATGGGTTTTAAATGGGTTTATTACCATAAATGTCACCTAGGTCAAACTGTTGCATAAAGATGTTGCTGTAAGATAGAGCTAATGAAGTACCACACGCACAACCCCGGATCTGTAAATAGGGTAATATGTATTCACAAAGAGAAAATATTTGTTTATCAAGACTTGATTTGTTAATTTCAGAAGACAGCCTACTAGTGTGTGAGTGCAGATAAAAAGCTTAATGATGAATATTTGCGTACAATAATAATACATTCTTGCAATCCTAGTCCTCTCATTTTATTAAAAAAATTGTTGCATTTTTCAGCCATGACAGGAGATTTGAAGAAAAGTGGTGGATGTGTCTTAGATTTGTGTATGTAGTGCATGGTGTCCTAGAGTGGGAGGGACTGTTCTGTGATCCAATGGTTCTGAAGATCTTTTAAAGCACACATTATAACTTAAAGATAGGATCAAGTACCAGCATCTTATAAAAAGATGAATAAAGCTTATAAAGATCTGTCCTGCTGCATGGTCTCATTTTTTTCTAAATGAATAAACATTACACTTCTAAATTTTCTGCTCTGTGGATTGTAACAGTCAGCTCGTTCACTACTTTTCCTTTGTTGCAATGTTCGATTGTGCCCTCCAGGGTTATATTCGATGTGTTTCAGTTCCACATCTTTATCATTTTTGACTAGTCTTCAGAAAGTGTTGACAGAAGAATTGTTGGCTATTAGTACAAAGATATTTGATATTTTAAATGTCAGGACTTGTACTAATTTATTTGTACAAGAAGCTCTTAAATTTTATGGGAGCATTTCTCAAAATGTGTACAATTCAGCTTTTGTCTGGAAAGGATCAGCTGTTTGTAGGCACAAATGTAGAGGCTTTGTTCAGCACTTCAGACACATCTGAGATCTTATACTGAGACTGCTTGCCAGTCTAAGCTCGCATTTTTGTTGTTGTCCACAAGATGGCAGCACAGGATAATGCAACACAGATGTGCATCAGTTTACTGGGATCACCAGGCACTCTT